ATTCGGATTACTAACACAGAAAATGTCTCATATCGAGAATATTTAACATTGAAAAACAAAAGAAAAAATTAATTATTTTTAATAATATGTGGAAATCTCCGCTTTTACCTGAAGACGGTCACGAGACCAGAAACACTTGTAGTAAAATTATGTAAAACAAAGCATAATATTTTTTCTAAATAAATCCACATTACAACCAAAAACGTTTGCGGCACCTCTCTTCTCTTCTTTTTAATATACATACTTTTCTCTCTCATTGGAACCACTACAACCTCTTTCTTTTATATATATATATATATATATATATATATATATATATAAATAGCTGGCCACTCGTATTCGAGGATCCCCGTCTACTAGGGGGCCAATCCATTTTTGTTTGTTCAACATCCACAGAGTCAACCTGTGGTTTATACTGCAACTATGCTGAGAAGACCTTAGACTTTCTGCGAGAGAGCATGATCAACAATCTAAATAACGCCAGCACACACAAACACTCGTTCACGATGACTTGTGACGTCGTGCTCGCAAGTGTTCCGTCTACCCATTTTTACTCACAATGTTTGGGTCAACTTTTTTCAAGCGCTTTCCAAAAGTGCCACACACTGGGAACGTCCAGACTGATAACGTGAGATTCGAACCCGGGTCTTATGGTCAGAAATGGAACGTTCTAACCACACGCGCCCGCGCCCGCGTGTGTGGTGTGTGCGTGTGTGTGTGTGTGTGTGTGTGTGCGTGTGTGTGTGTGTGTGTGTGTGTGTGTGTGTGTGTTTGTGAATACTTGCGCGTACATTTATTTGATTGAATATATATATATATATATATATATATATACTATTATTTATTTAAAATTATTACATAAAAAATGTTATAAAATCACTACAAAAATAGCCATTTTGTTTCAACACCACTGGTGTCTTATCAAGTGATGATGTTGAATATAGAATAAATGGTTTTAAAAGTTTCAAATTAATTAACGATCCTTCGCTAGGGGAAAACGCTGTTACATAAGCTGGAATGACCAATCAAAACACAAGTATACGAGAATTCAAAAAACTTGACAACGAAGTAAGGTTATAATAGCTATTAAGAGCTTTAAAGTTGGGGTTATACTAAAATAGAATTTATTCTAACCAATAAGTATTAAATTATGATAAAATTTGATATTAAAAGTAAAAGTAAAAAATTACCAATTTTAAAATCTAAATTTAATCTCTATTAAGTTTAAAATTATAATATTACTGAGGAGAAAAGAAAAAATACACATGTTATTCAATTTATTTTTTAAATACATATGTTATTCAATTTTGTTTTTGAAATTACGTTAGAATAGATGCTAATATCGGCTGGTTTTCCTGATAAAAGGTATACATTTCAATTCCAAGTGTGTCAGTGGGGTGCTAACCTCTCGCGTAAAACAATACAAACACACTCAGATTATAAAACATAAGCACCCAGACATATTTAGACATACACACACAAAAAGGTGACGAAACAGGAAACATCTCCACGGCCCTTTATAAAAAATAAAAAATAAAAAAATAAAAAAAATTATATATATATATATATATATATATGGAACTTTCTATTTTAAGTTTAATTTTTATAATTGAATTTGAATTTAAGTTTCAGTTTTGAAACAAGGAAATTTCGGTGTTGTGATGGTAATATATTTTACAAATAACAATTATAATATATATATATATATATATATATATATATATATACATTATTAAATGGACAAATCCGACAATAATTTTAAGACATTTTTATGTTTATACATTAAAATAATTGTCGGACTTTGTCCATTTCCTAATGTGTGACGTCATTTGTTTACATTTGATTACGCATCGAGCAGATATGAATGTACATGAGAAAATCATGGAAAATTGTAGTTTAAAAACAGTAAAATCGACCTCGCTAACCGAACGCTCCTCTGTGGTGAAATCGTTAAAATCACTTCCGGCTATATGACGGTTCCGTATAGGATACAGGTTCGATTCCTGTTTGAGGACGCATATTTTCTATAACAATTTCTCAGACATTCAGGCCGGTAAATGTTGTTAATACTCTTTATTATAAACAGACCATTTAATTAAATATTTGTATCTATAAAAAAGAATGTATAAACATAAAAATGTCTTTATATATATATATAGTTTAGTTGGAAACAAACTCCCTATAAAAATGACTTATAATTTTTTATATCACCCACATTTTGCCTGTAACAAAATATATTATTATTCCTAAAGTGGTAGAATTCATTACTAATTTCTGTTTTTTGGGGTTTTTTTTTAAGAGTGACAAGTGTTGCCCAGAATTCCACAAGGCCTGGTACTGCATGGGTGTGACACCTTGTATCCCGTTACAAAGTTTGGCAGTCCGTGGTACAAACGCAGGGATAGTGGTAGAGTGGTTATGAACCTCGTGCTTCAATAGATGCCAAAACCATCAGAAATTGTCATTCCAATCTGAAGAGTACGGGTTCTGTGGTAGATAGCAACAAACATCCAGATTGAAAGAAAATGTTTCAAATCTACAGTGTGACACGCACCGGTGGTCGCGGTCGCAGTCCAGCGTCAATACGTGACGTCCACTGGTCGCGACGTCAATATATGACACTGAGCCGTCGACCCGTGGTCAACTCACAGTTGCGGCGCGAAACTGTAAGGTTTCTTCCATCAGCGTTTAGGGTTGACTCGTTGTCGCTGCCACCAGCCTGTGTCCCAGTCGATCTGGTCGTTCCCAGTTCGATACCAACTTGTCGTTCCCAGCTCACCTCCAACGTCTGGTTACCGAAGTAACGGCTTTGATCTCAAGCCTAACCTACCCACGTTGTGACTTTGATCTTAGGTAAACGAAATCAATCAGGCGTCGGGCCGTAGTGCAAGCTGAATCCGGGGTAAAGGTGATACCGCACAAGCGTAAGTAAAAAAAAAAATAATAATAAAACAAACTCACGAGGTTCAAATATGTTGAGAAATAACACTTAACTTTATCTATCTGTTGAATACAAGTGTGGTTCTCTCCCGGCCTGTTTCTATGGATTCGTGACACTTTTTGCGTTACTTAAGCGATTTATGGTATCTTAAGTCGTTCGTCAACAAAAACTTGCTTTTGGTAGGAAGTCGAAAAGGACGTGGAAATCTTTCGGTCAGCTTCTGCGAGGCAACACTCTGACTCTGTAACTCCGACCGTGTCTGGAACTCTCTGAAAACTGCCACTGATTATATGGACACCGACCAACTCCGGAGACAGAGAGACAGAGACAGACAGACAGACAGAGACAGACAGACGTGGAAAGATACGTTGATTCATCAATAAAACTGAAACCTAATGAGAGAAAAAGATGTCTTTTACACAAATATCTTTTTTCTGTAGAACTTTTTTCTTATGACGATAGTCTAATAGTCGAAGAGGAGGTACAGAAATTAAAGAGGAATTGCAAGTTAGGTTATATAGATGTCTTTGAAACTGTAAATCTATGCTTTTTCCAGGAACACATTACTGTGGTCTTTTTGCACCAGATTTCTCCAAAGAACGTACGGGTCAAGTGGACGCTTGTTGTAGAGCACACGATTTCCAGTCCAATAATACAGACATTAATACTGTCGATAGTGATCTACAAATGCTAGATTGTTTGAATCAAGCTGATATACTTAGAGAACTTATCATAAGTAATATATCTAAAGGCAAATTAATATTTCAAACACTTACTCTGATCAAATGCCGCAAAGAAGATGATGCCGTCCAATAATATATTCCTTGAGCTAATATTCATTCAACAACTACACAAGAATTGAATATGAGGACAGCTGACGGCTTTATAAACACCAAAAGTATAGGACTACTAAAGTCATTTAAACAAAACTATTTGTTTATTATATACAGATGCACTGAGGGCACGTACACGTCAGCTGTGGTTTCATAAGTTCAAAAATGGCGATAGTGACATATCTAAAAGGCCTGCTTCATTATATATGTATGAAAGAAATATCTTCTTGCAACCGACACAATGCAGTATGCATATATATTAGGATGCTCAGTAAGTAATTGTGTATTTCACAGCTATGAATTAAGAGTCAAGTAACCAAAGCTGAAGCAAGATTTTATGGTCGGAAAATGTGGCTAGAATCAGTTTTTCAACTTTTCGATCGAAATAGTGAAATTATAGTGAAATTCAGAATGTCATCCCATGAAGGATTATAACTTTTCAAAAATAACGTAGACACCATTTATTGTTGTAGAAACACCAAAAGAATAGGACTTATTTTAAAAAAAATTATTTGTTTATTATATACAGATGCAATGAGGGCTCGTATATATCAGTTGTGATCTTAAAAGTTCAAAAATGGCGATAGTGGCATATCCAAAAGGCCTACTTCTTGGAAGATGGCTCACTGGGAAGGAAGAAAATTCGAAAGAAAACACAAACAAAGATACACATCGAAGCAAATCAGATTTGATGCAAAAACTAAATGTGTCATAGTCAAATAACTTTGAACGTCTCAAATGATTAGGTAAAAATAGCGTAGGGAATTTAGGTTCATCGTGAGCGTTCCTTTGAGCAGTAGTGACAGCCATGTTTATTAAACCACGTTCCGAGCGGTCCTGTACAGTTGCCACAACATTAAATGAAGAACGCCTAAAATACCGAACCAATGCTATTGAATAAAGTGTATTCATTATTGAAAATTTGCTCTACCCGGCGGTAATATAGTGTTCTCGTATATATATATATATATATATATATATATATGAAGCATTATTTTCGGGGCGTCTCTAATATAAGTGTTCATCGGCATGAGCACGTACGTTTTTATTTTTTTGTTTTTTTTTTATTATTGCGCCTGGTGCTTATCGATGAGGGCGTGACGTCAAGAAATCAATTAATCAATTGATAAATGGCCCACAGGTGATTTGCCTGGGTAAGACAAGGTCAGACTTTCGATTAAGTGGATCTCTGCCAATGTTTCGGTCATCTACTGTTATTGATGTTGCTATGTGTTTGCATATATATGCATGATGCACACGTCAGACATATTTTGAATTGCCATAGATAGATAGATAGATAGAAAAGGATTGATATAGATAAATAGAAAAGAATTGAGATAGATAGATAGATAGATAGATAGATAGATAGATAGATAGATAGATAGAAAGAAAGAAAGAAAGAAAGAAAGAAAAGGATTGAGATAAATAAATAGAAAAGAATTGAGATAGATAGATAGATAGATAGAAAAGGATTGAGATAGATAAATAGAAAAGAATTGAGATAGATTGATAGATAGATAGATAGATAGATAGATAGATAGATAGATAGATAGATAGATAGAAAAGTATTGAGATAGATAGATAGATAGATAGATAGATAGATAGATAGATAGATAGATAGATAGAAAAGGATTGAGATAGATAAATAGAAAAGAATGGAGATAGATAGATAGATAGATAGATAGATAGATAGATAGATAGATAGATAGATAGATAGATAGATAGATATGAACAGGCTGGGAAAGATATAAACAGACAAAGAGATGGATATGAATAAACTCAGATATGAACAGACTGGGACAGATAGATAGAAACAGACTAACAGATGGAGATAGATAGATAGATAGATAGATGGATAGATGGATATATAGATAGATAGGTTAGTAAATAATCGATTTATATTATTAAATATAGTATCTATTTTCCTATGTACATTTTTCACTTTATATATGTATGAAAGAAATATCTTCTTGCAACCGACACAATGCAGTATGCATATATATTAGGATGCTCAGAAAGTAATTGTGCATTTCACAGCTAAGAATTAAGAGTCAAGTAACCAAAGCTGAAGCAAGATTTTATGGTCGGAAAATGTGGCTAGAATCAGTTTTTCAACTTTTCGATCGAAAAGTTATTTATAGTGAAATTCAGAATGTCATTCCATGGAGGATTATAACTTTTCAAAAATAACGTAGACACAATTTATTCTGTATAAACACCAAAAGAATAGGACTTATTTTTTAAAAAAAACTATTTGTTTATTATATACAGATGCACTGAGGGCAGGTACGCGTCAGCTGTGATTTTAAAAGTTCAAAAATGGCGATAGTGGCATATCTAAAAGGCCTACTTCTTGGAAGGTGGTCCACTGTGAAGGAAGAAAATTCGAAAGAAAATACAAAGATACACATCAAAGCAAGTCAGATTTGATTCAAAAACTAAATGTGTCATATTCAAATACCTGTGAACGTCTCAAATGATTTGGTAAAAATGGCGGAGGGAATTTAGGTTCATCGTGAGCATTCCTTTGAGATCCGAAATTAGCACAAATTATGAAATCTTTTAAGCAGAAAAGCTATCTTTTAATTTATGCATCGCATTCTTAAGGAATTCGGGATAAACTAGCCAAGATTGAATTTGTGTCCCTCGTGAGTTTTCCCTTGAGAACCGAACTAATTGCTAAAGTCTTTTAACCAGAAACGCCATTTTTGCATATTTTTATCGCATTTGTAATGAATTGGAAAAAAAAAATGGTCAAAAGGGAAACTGGATTCCTCGCGAATTTTTCCTTGAGAACCCAATTGTCCATTATTTGCATTCCATCTTTTAACCAGAAATGCCATTTTTTCAGTTTTACATCTTATTCTTAATGAATTGCGATAATCTGACCAAAAAGTAATTTAGGTTCCTTGTGAGCTTTTGTTTGGGAACAGAACTTTCCACCATTTACTCCAGTGGTTTAACCAGAAATGCTATCATTTCAATTTTTTTTTTTTTTTGCATTCTTAATAAATTTTGACAAACTGGCCACGTGAGAATTTGTATTCCACGTAAGCTTTCTCTTGAGAACCGAAATATCTACCACTTGCAGCAGTCATTTAACCAGAAATTCTGTCTTTTCATTTTTGAATTATATTCTTAAAGAATTGGGATGATCTGACCAAACGCAAATTTGGGTTAGTCGGAAGCTGTCGTTCGAGAACCGAACTTTTCACCATTTGCAGCAGTCATTTAACTAGGAATGTCCACTTTTCAGTTTTCTATCACATTCTCAATGAATTAGGATCAAATGGTCAACATGGAATATGGGTTCTTCGTGAGATTTTCCTTGAGAACTGAACTTTCCACCAAATCCTACAGTCTTTTAACAAGAAAGTCCATCTTTTCATAATCGCCTCGCATTCTTAATGAAATGGTGAAGGGGAAATTTGGGTACATAGTCAGCTTTCGTTTCACAACTGAACTTTCCACCACTTGTTGCAGTCTTTTAACCAGAAATGTCATTTTTTTTTTTCCTTTTTGCATCACATTCTAAATGAATTGGGATCAACTTCCCAACATTTGGAATTTGGGAAATTCTCGTGAGCTTTCGTTTCATACAGTTCTTTGTTTCCCAATTCATTAAGAGTGCAATGCAAAAATGAAAAGATAGCATTTCTGGTTAAAAGACTGTTGCAAATGGTGGAAATATAGACCAGTTCGCCAATTCTTTGTTTCATGGTGCCTGCTTCCCAGAATGTTATGTTGTTTTTGTAAGCCTTGAAAACGACTTTATCGCCAGGATTGAAATATTTCTTATGAGGCGATACGGTTTTTTTTTTAACTTTGCTTGCCGTGGAATAAGTTTGTCGAAGACAGACTTGATTTTCCTTACGAACATTGTTTCTGCAGGCGAGCTTCCATAGGCGTGTTCGGATTAGGGGTTATCCGATACACCTGCAGAAACTGTTGCAATGCTCTATCTGTCGGTGTGCCTAGTGCCTTTCTTAAAGCCCTTTTTAAATTGTCCACGAACCTTTCGGCCTGGCCATTCGACCTAGGGTGGTACTGAGGCATTGTAACGTGGTCCACCTGATATGACTTGCAGAAGCCTCTAAATTCATTTGATGTGAATTGAGTGCCATTATCTGTAACTACACAATCTACCACGCCAAAACGCGCGAATAGCTCGTGTAGAAATCCGATCGTGCAGTTTGTGGTTGGTCTTTTGCATTGTAGGACCTCAGATCATTTTGAGTGGCTATCCACAACAATGAGGTAGTAGATGTTGTCTATAGACCCTGCAAAATCGACATGAATTCTTTGCCATGGATGGTCTGTGTTTGGCCATGGTTTGCACGTCGTGGTTGGAGCTTTTGCTGCAAGCGTGCATCCTTTGCATGATCATGTCTGCTATGGTCTTGTCCATGTTTGGCCAATAAACATAGCAGCGCATGAGGCTTTTCGTACGGTTCTTCCCCGGATGTCCCATGTGAAAATCCATGAGGATTTTTCTTTGTAGGCTGTTTGGAATCACTACGCGGTCATTGTATAGTAGGTCATCATCGCAGAGGGAGAAAACTTCAGGCACATTGGGGTCTTTATTGCGAATTTTGCTTTTTATGGATTGAATGAATTCATCCTCTCGAGACTCCCTTTTTATGTCGGCCAAAGTAACTGGGAGCTCTCTTATGGTACTCACGATCATGTTTTTGATTTCACAATTTGTCCTTAGAGTAGCAATGATGGAGTCTTCAAAGACTTCTGTATTTTTTGGCATTTTTTGGTATAGACTGGCAGACCTTTTTTAGAACCAAAGATTGTAATTAGAGGTTTATGGTCCGTCTGTAGTATGAACCGTCTACCAGGTAGGTATCTGTGAAACTTTGTCACAGCGAATATTATCCCTAGAGCCTCTTTCTCTATTTGAGAATATTGTTTCTCAGCTGGAAGTAGAGATCTTGATGCGTGAGCCACAGCTTTTCGCCAACCATCTGGCAGTTTATGTAGAATGCAAGCACCAATGCCGTACGAGCTTGCATCACTTGCGACTATGATGTCGAGACTATGGTCGTAGTGGGTGAGGGAGAGGTCCGAAGTAAGAGTTTTCTTGATCTTTTCGAATGCGTCTTGGCATTCCGGGGTCCATGACCATGGTTTGTCCTTTTTTAAGAGTTGGCTGAGGCCCTCTCAAATTTTGCATGTGTTTAATGAACCCTTGGTAAAAGTTAGCTAGGCCGAGGGAGCTTTGTAACGCTTGAACGTTATCTGGGGCCGGCATGTTTCTGATCGCGTTGGCTCTTTCTGGATCCGGCCGACGACCGTCTTTATTTATGATGTGACCTAAGTATTTAATCTATGGTAAGAAAAAGTCACACTTTGCCTCCTTAACCTTAAATCCATATTCTTGTATCTTTTCGAATACGTTTATTATATGGTTCCGGTGCTCTGCCGTAGTTTTACTAGTAACCAGTATATCATCCAAATAGGCTGTTGCGTAGTCAAGGTCGCCCAGCATGGCGTCCATGACCTGCTGAAAAATTGCAGGCGCAACCTTTACTCCAAAAGCCAGTCTGTTGCATTTGTACAACCCTATATGGGTGTTTATGCAGAGCAATTTGGAACTTTCTTCTTCCACCTCTATCTGAAGGTATGCGTCCGAGAGGTCGATTTTAGAAAAAAATTTTCCACCATTGAGTTTATTGAAAATTTCTTCAGGGATTGGAATAGGATAGTGGTGATCTTGCAAAGCATCGTTTAATCCTGTGGAAAAATCTGCGCATACCCGTATTTGATTGGACTTCTTTTTTACGTAGACCGTAGATGCTGCCCACTCGCTGCAATCTATTTTTGACAGAATACCTGCTTGTTCGAGTCTATCTAACTCATTGTTGATTTGCTCTAGAGCAGCGAAAGGGACATTCCGTTTCTTTTTGAATACCGGTTGTGCACCGTCCTTCACCTTGAACTTAGCTTTCATTTTAGTACATTTCCCAAGGCCGCCAGAAAAAAAACTGGGAAAATTGTTGTTTGAGTTCCTTTTTGAGATTTACCAAATTGACGTTGTACTTTGTATCTTGCGACAAAATGTACTCATTGGGCAATCCCAAAGATTGAATTTTTCTATCCAATCTGTTCAAAATAAGTTATCTGAAGTTTTCAATACATAGGCTTTGAGCTTTTTGGTAACTCCATTTAGTGTTACTGTAAGTATTACCTCGCCTAAAATGTTAATCTTTTCGCCAGTTACGGATTTTGCTGTTTTCTCCGTTTTTAATAAGGTCGGCTTGTTTAATTTCCGCCAAGTACGCCAGTTAATGGTTGAAAGATCGGAACCCGAGTCAAGCTGAAATTTAATGGACTTATTGAAAATATCCACAGTTACATATTTCCTTAAATTCCTATCGACAATATTGTCAGATTGAGTTTGCCTAATTTTATTTTGGGGTTTTCTCGTTCTGTTGGCGTACCAGCACCGAGTTAAAGTATGTCCATTTTTATTGCAATTTTTGCAGTATTTTTTGTTCTTAACAGGACAGAATTTCATCCAATGCCATTTACCACAATGGTAACATGGTCCGGGCGGTTTCTTTAACCTATTTGGGTTTTGGTTACTGCGTAATTTAGGACATGAGATTTTCCTTTTGTCTTTTTGAGGGGAATAGGAGGTAGACTTGCTTCTGATTTTATTAATCTGAGCCACACCTGATTCCTCGATAGTGTTTGAGTCACACTTTACAGATATTACTCTTTGACAGCCAGTTTTTGGAGAGTCAATCCTTGTTCGTTCTCAAGCTTGGTCAGTACCCGTCGTCTGACTTCGGCGTCTTCTGCTGATACTAGACCTTGTGCGAAAATTAAGCGCTTGAAATCATCGGCAGTCAGTTCGGCTAATTTAAAATCATTACAGAGCTTGTTTACCGATGCTGCAAACGTTAGAAAATGTTGCTGGTTGTCTTTGACTGTGTTCAGGCATTTCCAACGTTTGTGGAACAAGGTTGTGTTAGGCCCGAATAGTTCCGATAGGAGCTTAATAATCTCTGAAAAATCCAAGTCTGTGGTTTTCTTGGGTAGTATGAAGTCTACGAACCTACTATGTTCTGTAGTTCCCAGTTTTCTCAATAGTAGACGTACCTTTTTTTTTAACTGGGCCATTGTTCACAGTCTACGTTGAAAATATCTTCGTAGCGCCTGTAAAAAGCCTCGAAAGTTTTGTCGTTCTCTGGTACGTATTCAAAGGTTTCCATTGAATTGTAGATTGTACTCTGGGAGAATATTGTATCTTTTTCAGAGTTTGAGCCTTTTAATGCATTTACGAGTAATTCTTTAAGCTGTTTGTGTTGTAGTTCAGCATTCTGAAGCGTAATTTGTTGGAATTCCATTTGTTGTTTATGTAATTCCAAAAATAGTTGTTGTTGTCTTTCTTCTGATTCCAAATGTACTTTTAGCATTTGGACGATTACTTTTTGAAAATCTTCCATATTTAGACAAACAAAAATGACAGCGATTTTTTGTTGCTTTGAAACCCGTGTACCAAGGGGAGGTACACAAAAATCTTGATAGATTTTTTTTATACGTAGACGCTGGGTGTTGCGTTTAAATCGCTGATGTAGTAATACCAGCTTAATTTCTCGTTCAACACTGCTGTGGGAACGCATGGAGTTTCTGTGTATTTTTCAAGTACTCTGTCGCTATTGATATGGTGAGAAAGAAAAAAACAGATGACATGCATTTAAGGGATGCCAGAATTCATTGAAAAATAAACCCCTACCCTCCCTAAACTTAACCTCTTTTTCGAACGTAACTCATAATTGATTCAACAATAGTTAATAAAAATGAGCACGCTACCGCCCCTGTCTGAATGATTGGATTTCGCTGTATCCTTGGAAACAGTAAATTATGAATTTATATATGCGCTTAAAACTCAGTAAATTTAAAATAAGCTATTCCAATATTCACTTGAAGATGAAACGAAACTAATGCTTTTAATTTAATTATATAATTAAATTTAAAGTTTTTAGCTTCAATTTTTGAAAGATGGTTATTACTGTGTAGCGAAAAAACATTTTAAGTCAGTTAATTTATAATATTTATGCTCTGTAAATTTACATTGAGCACTGTTTTGTAAAAATAAAAAATAACAAGAACACCGGATTATATATCTTACTGTTCTTTCTTTATATATATATATATATATATATATATAGTGAATCCTTAAAAGTCCATCAGGTCAGGTTATAATTTATTTCGTGGACCCCAACGTTCATCTCTTCAGACCAGTTTTACATAAATAAATGAAGTTCAATTTATTAAGACAAAAAGAAAAGGAGAAAAAAGAAAAGAGAAAGGGAAAAGAGAAAAAAATAATTTCAATAAATCTTTTTTGAATATAATCACTCCCTTCCCACTTGTTTTTAACTTGTCAAGTCTCAGAAGAAAAATCTTTTCTGAGTCACCCTGTCGACTTTAATTTCCTCATTGCTTTCTTTCCCTCTTTCAATCTCTTTCCTTTTCCCCTCCCCATGTATATCTCTCTGTCTCTTCCAACTAAAAAAAACTTAGATTGAAATATCTGTCTTTTCCCCCTTTTTTCTTTTCTCTTTTAATATTAATTTTTTTCCTTTTTCTCTCTTTTCTTTCTTTTTTTCCTTTTCCTTGTGTCTGAATAAATTGAACACCATTTATTTATGTAAAACTGGTCCGAAGAGATGGACCTTTGAGGTCCACGAAATAAATTATGACCTGACCTGATGGATTTTTAAGGATTCTGTATTCATTATTATATTGCTCTGTTTTTGCATTGAGCTCTCTTTGAATTTATATCCTCCTTAGAATTATCCTTAGTAATCATCAAGTGATATATATATATATATATATATATATATATATATATATATATATATATATATATATATATAATAACAAATAATAACTTCCTAGTATCCGATGATAGGGTATCCACACAATTTAAAAAAAAAATCCCCCGTAAACAATTTAAATAGAGTTCACACCATTGTGATTGGCTGTTGGTCAACTTCCAATCAAATGCGTGATAGCGGGTTATGGTTTGCTAATATAAGTCAGTGTCTGCAGGCTGTTAATCTAGATAGGGCGCATCAGAGACTGATCAGCTCTGACGTGGTCAACTTGGGGAGGAGTGTATGATGTTTGAAAGACCTGAAACTGCCCAATGATCCAAATCAGAACATCACTGACGGCCCCATCTAGTGCTAAAGAGCGTATATTCAAAGTAGTGATATATAATATATATATATATATATATATATATATATATATATATATATATATATATATATGAAGAAAAAATATACGGAAAAAACAAAGAAAAATCCTTATATGCAATTATGCTGTTTTAATGTTAATATGTCAACGTCGGACGTTTCGGTCTAATAAACCATCTTCAGGACGTATTCATAAAATATAATTAACATTATCAATTCAACAGGACAAAGACGATGTACATAAGAAAAAGACTTATCCAAACAGAATAACTGAAATCTTTTATAAGATCAGCGCTCCGTTTAAACATGGTCACGTTGTCGTCACGTGGGCGACGCTGTGAAAACGTATTCCTAAAATTTGAGTATTTTGAATGAAAAATGAAAAATGAAAAGAATTCTACTTTGATCTAAAATTCACATGTACGCTTGAAAATTAATCTCGCTAGAAAAGGGCAAATACTAAAGAAGCCAGGTCTAGTGTTCACCGTGCGTGTGATGGATATTATGCCTGCTTCATAAATCCGCCTAAGATTTTTATTATGAAAATATTTTAAAATCGAAATTATGATCTGCTTTAGTTGTGTGTACAACTATAGCATTGTTTAAATTTCCGAGGCGAATATCTCGTTTATGTTCGAAAACACGAGATTTTACGGACCTACATGTTTCACCCACATATTTTAAATCACAGTTATTGCATGAGATTTGGTAGATGCAAGCATCGGATGTAATATGTTGTTTGCTGGTGCTATTCAATAAACTACGGATCGTTCTAGTAGGTAATATTGTAGTTTTAATTTTTAACGCATTTAAATTATTAGAGATACGTTCGGTCAAATGGTAATTTGGTAGAAAGATGCGACCAAAAGAATTATTATCAGGGGCAGCTGAAAGTGTACCTTTTACTGATGTAGTTGTAGTGGCCTTCAAGGTGTCATTTTGCGCTGATGGGTGAATTTTCAATGCTTTATTTTTAGCCCTGTTTGTTTTTTCCGTATATATTTTTCTTCATACTGTCGGATCTATATCCATATATTTGCTTACACACACACACACATATATATATATATATATATATATATATATATATATATATATATATATATATATATACCCAAGTATATGATTGGTGTATACGGAAAAGAATTCCAATAACCAACAATTACTATTCTTAAAAGAGTGCTCAATACAGAAAGAGCAAATGTAATTATTTATTTAAAAAAATATAAAATAAATATGTTTTCACTACAAAAAAGTTTCAAACCTCCTTCAAACCCTTATGTTGAATGTAAAATAAAGGGTTTTAAAAGTTTCAAATCCTTCAAATTTTATTTTTACATTCAACACCCAGGATAAGACACCGGAAAAGAAACATAATGGCTATTTTTGTAGTGATTTTATAACATATTTATGTTATAATTTTAAATAAATAATTATATCTGCTTCTACTCTGTGTATATATATATATATATATATATATATATATATATATATATATATATATATATATTGGCAATATTTTTTCTTCAAAATTGTATCGCTTGTAATTTTTTTTTTTAAAGTATAGCTGGTAATATCTTTTTTCAAAAATCTAGTGCTGGTAATATGCGAACCAAAACTTCGCTTTTACGTATTTATATTTATGAACATGTCTTGTTTTAAACAGCTGCACGTATCTCAATTTACTGTTTATGGTCTTTACTATCAAAAGCCCAAATAAGGACCGTGCGAAAAACTAATTGCCTTGAACTTATGCAGACACGTGCATCCCTGAAACAAAAAGGACCTAATCGCTAACATCAGTAGTCATAACGCTCGCCATTTTAAACTGACCGATGCACACTCAGACTGTGCAGTTATATGTCTCCGTGTGAACTTATCTTTACCCGAGCGTGCTAACAAGAGAGAGAAGAAGGAAAGTTTTGACGGACGCGATGAGGGGGGGATCAAAAGTACACTGATATTAAAATCTGTAGAAGGGTAGCGAGCAGTTATTCATACGAGTTCTGAACTCTCCTTGATTCAGTTGGAGTTCAATAGCTGGCTGCCAGCCAGGCTTCTAACTCCAGACCAATGCTATGACCAGTCAATATATTCACCTCGTACGCACGTCCGTTGATTTCAACCTCCCAACCCTAACCCTAACACCTCATTCTCACCCACAGAGTTTAGTAAAGCCTCTTTTCACCATCAAATATGCACTTTTCGAAAACTGAATAACATTAAACACAAAGAAAAGAGCGCCGGGCTGCTGTGCAATGTCCAATCTCCTGTGTGGCAATAAAGTTGGACCGTTTCGTTACAAGCGGCGAACAAGATTTGGAGTGATCAAGATATGCTTCTATCGATGAAAGTTGAGGAGAACATGGACAAAACATGCGACGAATCGGGAATAGGAGCTAGAAAGTAATATTTGCAGACAGAAAGAGACCTCCGAAAATTTCGGGAAGTATAAAGAGAAAAGAAGGCTTAGCGAAATGAACACTCACAGGGCACAATCAGGGCCCGTGAAACGGAGCAAAACGACGGGTAACCTACTAAATACTTCAGAGCAAATGGATGCAAGAATAAGTACCAAAAGCAGAATGGTGTCGTAAAGAAGCAAGTATTACTGAAATCAACAAAAACAGGATGTCGTGGAGAACCATGAACACTTACATCCTCTAGGCAAATGGCACAAAGAAATAGAGAGAAATTATACTTGAGAAGTTTGAGCAAATGGATGGAGGAACAAGTAACGCAAAGTATTGTTGAGGAAGCTGTGGAGAGCCAATAAAATACACAATCTGACAGGAACACAGCACATAGAACGTGAAACATTGCACCCCTGGGACAATACTCTCATTCTGATTCGACCCTAGGCCTCTGTATCGAACCCGGAAGATTTTTGAACCGGAGATGGATTCATACCTTCCCCAAAGGTGTTAGCATGTAAGAGAATACACTAAACTCGATTGGAATTCGAACTCGACTCTCCGTGCCACTATCTATTATACCACTGTGCTCCTAAGCAGTTCAGTATTCACTGATTATATCAGATATTACGTAACAGTCCAGAAAAGCAGTCTATCTAGAAGAAGGCCAACCCTGATTTTTAAACCTCCGTTGCCTGACGGTCATGTCCAAACACTGAAAAGGCTATGGAAGTAAATCCAGACAGAAAACCCGAAATGGACATCTGAAAGCAATTGGCTGTCAATACTGACAACTTTCCAGTAATTTCTGTTGCCAATCCGTCACTAATATATTTGGTTTGGTTTGGTCTGGTTTGGATTGGTTTGTTTTTTGTTTTTTGTTTTTTTCGTGTTTTTTTGTTTGTTTTTTTTTTGGCATATCAAGCTCAATGTGTTATTTAATGCCGACAAGATTTTTATTGCTGGCAATATTTTTTATCTATCCCAGTATATATTGCTTTGGTTTGGTTTGTTTTACGGCATATCAACCTCAATGGGTTATTTAATGCCGACAAGATTTTTATTGCTGGTAATATGTTTTATCTATCTATCTATCTATCTATATATATATATATATATATATATATATATATATATATATATATATATATATAATAAAAAAGAACACTAATATTCCATGGTCATAATTTATTCCATTGGAATCATAAATACGATCCAGTTCATATGAATTGGATCGTATTTACGATTCCAATGGAATAAATTATGACCATGGAATATTAGTGTTTAAGCCTTTTTATTATACCCTTACTCTGTCCTAGACATTGAGTTCTACCTGGATACTTCCTCTTGGAATTTTTTTTCTAAAAATATACATGTATGGGTATTTATATATTTTGCATATGTACATGTATATTTACCACTAATATTATCTATCTATCTATCTATCTATCTATCTATCTATATATATATATATATATATATATATATATGAGTATATATTGGTTTGGTTTATTTTGTTTTACGGCATATCAACCTCAATGGGTTATTTAATGCCGACAAGATTTTTATTGCTGCTAATATTTTTTTTTCAAATGTATCACTGGTAATTTTTTTTCCTTCAAAAATTTATTTCTCGTAATATTTTTTCTTCAAAAATGTATCACTTGTAATTTTTTTTTTTTTTTCAAAAAAAGTATAGCTGGTAATATCTTTTTTCAAAAACATATTGCTGGTAATAACTTTCTTCACAAAGTATTTCAGGTATTGAAATCTATTTTTATACTTTCATAGTGTTTTGACCCCAGTTCGGGGCTAAACTATTTGCCCATAGCTGGGACCCTAACAGGTGCTACCACCCCGGGTCAGGATGGACCTGGGAACACCAACAATTAAGAGGTGGTTCGACGCTCCTCAAAACCTCCTGATCAGAGGCCTTTGTTGTTGGACGTAGTTTATTGTCTTAACCAGTCGTCACCAAATGTAATGGCCTGCATTCCTTTGCATCTTGTCGGTACGGCCGAGACGTGGGGCCATGGAGTCTGGGCATCGCACAGCCTCCATATACCATTGCCCTGCCCTGCCCTGCCCTACGCCCTGCCCTACGCCCTAAGGAGATCATCTCAGTCTGTTCTTATCTATCTATCTATCTGTTCTTATCTATCTATCTATCTATCTATCTATCTATCTATCTATCCATCTATCTATCTGTTCTTATCTATCTATCTATCTATCTATCTCAGTCTGTTCATGCCTATCTATCTCAGTTTCCTCATATCTATCGATCTGTCTGTCTGTTCATATCTATCTGTTTCAGTTTATGTTTATCTGGCTAGCTAGCTATAGCTAGCTAGCTATATATCTATTTCAGTCTTTTCGCATCTATCTGTCTATCTCATTTTTTTTTCATATCTATCTATCTATCTATCTCAGTCTGTTCATACATTATTTCAAGTTATATCAATCTGTCTCAGTCTTTTCACATCTATCTATCTCATTTTTTTCATATGTATCTCAGTCTATTTATATCTATCTACTTCACTCTGTTTATATCTATCTATTTCAGTTTACATCTATCTGGCTATTCTTTGTTCTTCCCTGCTGTCACTCCATTTTGTCTGACAATTAGCGATATCATATAGAGGCTATGTCGGTGTCAATCACGCTCGATGGAAATTTGCGTGTTACAATGTTATTTATCTGAACTTCGAACTGCTGCAGATGATATATTATTTGGTAGACTTGTTACATTTTAAGCTATAAATATCTAAGTTAGGGATGATTGGTGAGGCCCGCTTGCTAAGTAATTGGATTCATATGTTGGTACTGATTAATTACACCAAGTAAATTTAGATAGATAGATAGATAGATAGATAGATAGATAGATAGATTGCGGATTGAAATAGATAGATAGATAGATAGATAGATAGATAGATAGATAGATAGATAGATAGATTGCGGTTTGACACAGACAGAAATTTGAGCAGATTTAGAGGTAGGTAGAAAGACAGATATGATCAGATCGATAGAAAGACAGACATAGGTAGGTTATGTATGTATGTATGTATGTATGTATGTATGTATGTATGTATGTATTGAAGTTGTTTTATTTTAGCAGAACGTAGCTTTTTGAGTTCGAATGGTTTCGTGATGTTGTCCCTTAATCATTTGGAACATTTTACCTCGAAGAATCCCATTTTCGACATTCTCGTATAATGCAGAGAAAACCGTCTTAAAATGAAAGAACAAGCGAATCTTCTGTCAAACGAATGCAGACAACGAACATTGCTAAACTATAAGTTATTTTAGTAAGCACTAAAATTTATTCGGTTGGTACGTAGCGAAAAAGAAATGTAAGATAAAAAAAATTACTTTCAAAACCGAAATTCAGAGGCAAAATTTGGAATTGTTGTCGCTGTTCTGCGTTCTTTTGTTGGTAGCTAAAAAAAAATCATCTTTTCTCGAACAACGGATGCGGAGCAAAAGCTATAAGCAATAATGGCGCGTGTACGTCAGTGAATTTTTTTGCAGTGTTTATTTCTTGACCCCATTTCAGAAAGGTTCATGAAATACTCCCTGCAGCTTAAGAATGAATTAAAAAAAAAAAAAAACAGAAAGAAATTGAAAATAACTGAAAATAATCCCATCAGGGAAAGAGGTAGACAAAAGCTAATTGTGTAGAATAAGTATTTTATACATAGAAATATGAATAGGTATATATCTGTGTGTATGTGTATGTGCATGTGTGTGTGCGCGTGCGCGCGCATGCGTGTGTGTGGGGGGCGCGCGTCTGGATATTTGCGAAACCTTTTCAGACTTTCAAAATTTTCTTTGTCAAGCTTAGAAAAAAAAATATATATATATATATATATATATATATGTGTGTGTGTGTGTGTGTGTGTGTGTGTGAGAGAGAGAGAGAGAGAGAGAGAAACTATATATACATTTATATATGTATTAGAACAATTTTAGGAAAATCTATGACAAAGTGAAAAATTCATCACACGGAAAAAAGAAATCGGGACTCTAGAACTTGATCGAACTAAAATGATGATGTGATTACACATGGGCATGGAGGAGAGGGGACGCTGAAAATTTAAACTGTTAAATTGTTTATATTATGTGTCCAGCCGATTTCACTTAGTTTATTTCTATTTTTGTTTTTATTACTTTTGTCATTCAATATCCCACACTGTGATGATGGAAGATCTGCTAAGAAAAGTGAAATATTGTAAGTACCTGGATGTAAATTTACTAGAGATGATCTAGCAATTTAAGCACTTTCTATACATTTTTGTCTTATAGTAAAATTCCCAGAATAATGGGTTTTGGGTGTATGTCACGTTCGGCAAAGGAAGAACTATAAACCTAAATTGAGTTTGAAATATTGTGTAATTGGCTCTTATTTTCTTTATAAAATACTTGGATATGACATAATAAATAATTTACAGCAAAAAAGCAATTTTCAATTTTTTGTTGAATATGCCCATCCACCACCAAATGTGTCATATAATCTAAGCTGATTTTATTTCCATTCTTTTTCTTTTTGTTTCTATTACATTTGTTATTCAATATCCCACATTGGGATGACAGAAGATCTGCCAAGAAGGGTGAAATATTTTAAGTACCTGGATGTAAATTTACTATAGATGATCTAGCAATTAAAGCACTTTCTATACATTTTTGTCTTAGCAAATTGCTTTCTCTTTTAATTAAAGTAGTGTTTTTATAAATCAAAATTAGGGACAGACTCATTAACTTGCCTAAACTAAGCTTAGGAGTTAAAAAGAATCAAGATCAACTAAGTGCAGAGACTCCTTGAAGTATCCGAGCGGGTGGCAAACACCCCTACCAGATGTATGAGTTGACAACTGGACTCGTTTTAAGCTCAGAAGGGCATAAAAAGAATCAAGATCGACGTATAAACACGTCTGTAGCTGGGGTTTTTTTTTCAACGTTATGCTTGGGACGTGTTTATTCGTCTGTGTCTGAAAATGACTCTTTCGGTAAAATCGTCTATACATGGTTACGCTGGGGACGGGGGTTAAAGGTCTTAACAATAAGCATTTGACAGGAAATAAGCTAGAAATAAACAAATAAAGCAATTTTCATATATTAAATTTCACTAATACAAGGAGGCACGGTGGAGTAATGGATAACGGCTCGGATTGCGGAATCGAAGAGCCAAGTTCGAATTCCAGTCGCATCCATTACATTCACTTACGTGCTAATACGACTGGGAAAGTTATGAATCCTCTGTGGCAGAAAGAAATGGCAACCTACTGCGGGAAAAAAATCTGCCTCGTCAATCATGTATCTTTTGATACATGATCGGCTAAGCGTGTATCACGCATGACACATCACTGATGATATTCAGTCTCCCTCCCGCCACGAGGGCATCATGTGGCACAAGGCCGGTTTAACGTGGGATCTCCGAGCCCGTGGGCTCGGCCAAAAATATGCCCATTGAACCCGTATAAACGGGTTCAGGGTCGGTTTACCTCCCCAAAAGAGAATCCGCCCTTCGGCTTAGCCTCCTTCGGGTTCCTCCCCGCTCAAAGGCAGAGAGTTCAACCGATCTGTCGTTCAAGACTTGAGCGAATGACACATCACTGACTGACTGACTTTCCAATTGGATCCATTATATTCACTTACGTGCGCTAATACCTTTGGGAAATGGTATGAATCCTCTTCTTCTCCCTCCAGCTATGGGTAAATAGCAGGACTGGCCAGGTTCTATAGCCTTTGATGTCAACTGGTCTATCGCAGAAAGGAATGGCAACCTACTGCGGGAAATAAATCTGCCTCGTCAGTCATGTATCGAAAGATGTATGATTGCCTAATCGTGTATCATGGCATATAACTGACTGAATACTAGAATTCGGGATAGAGTGTTACTGTTAAAATGGTTATAAGTGAGGTACGTAATATGAATGAAGTAGGTAGTGAAGATTATGAGGATAAGGAGGATATATAACGATTGTCTCTTGACTTAAAGAGATTGTAGTGTTCAACAGGAGTCTGGAAAGAAAGCTTTCTGAGTGAAAAAATCCCCTTACATATGGAATGCGGGGGAAAGGAAAGTGATTCGACTTCATGGAAGTAGGTCTGAACTTGCGGAACTAAAGACAGTAGCAAAGACATTTGCCATGGAAATAGCGATAGAATACTGCAAACCTGCGACGTAGCATCTGCGTTCATGTGTGATATAATTTCCTTACATTTTTAAACATCGTCGGTGTTCGGTTAACATGTGACCTTCGACGGAAAATAACCACAAAACTTTCTCGACAAACGCCTCAAAGAGAAGATATATTTCTGACGGGTGGGCAGACACGGCCTCTTGCAACATGTCGTACCAGGACTTATGAGTAAAGAAAACTGTTGTAACTTTCACTATCTTTCCTTTTCGGGGTCAGGGAGAAGGCATGTAACATATTCCTATAATTTGTTAGCAAGTACTCTTTCTAGAAAATGGATTAAAAAATTCCATTTACATACTTGCCTCTTCTTTTTATATTATTATAAATTTGCTTAAAAGCCGCACTCGGATTTTAAACTAGCTCCTGTGGAGGGATAGTTCAGCCTCCAACCTAAAACTAAAGGGATCGCTGGTCTAGCTTAGAAAATAGGAATGATAATGATTCAAATAACTTTGAATTCCTCAGATCACTCTCCGTGAAACCTCAAAACCTCTCTTTAACTCTGATTGGGGGTATAAGTCCAATTCCGACCAAAAGATCGAAATTCTAATTCAGGCCAAAAATTGAGTTCTTCAAATCCCAAACTCTGCAGAAATTTAAAATCTGACGTCACGAAACCCTCTCACTTTAAATCTGATTCCTTGGCATTTTAAAATATATTAGGTTAGTGCAAAAATAATGACGTAATAATGTCGTTTTTTGACGTATTTTTTAACGTCAAAAAACGACATTCTTACGTCATTATTTTTGCACCAACCTAATAAAATTGATTTCCTCAGTTCACAAAAATTTGGAGATATTTTAAACTGAATTTAAAATAAAACATTTTTAATTCACAAAGTTTTTGTGTGACATTAACCCATTACCTGCCATGAGCCCCATTTGGGGATCTGTTAAAATTAAACTCACTACATGTTATTCATTGTATTTACATTGAATTGCTTACATACATTGCATTTGCAGAGGTATATTTTATAACACTTAGCCTTTAAAGTTTTTATTATTCGCCGTAAGAAGACACTTCCTGTCATAATTTTACATTTCACGATTAGAAAAATAATGACTATTTTGAAAAGTATTTTATTATTTCTATTCAATATTATTTTTTGATGTTTTATACACTTATATATTTGATGTTCTAGTTTCTATAAAAACGGCAATGGTAACTACTGAAATTAAACATAAGGAATAAATGAACTCCTAAGACACCTGTCTGGGCCAAAAATGTGCATTCAAAAATTTGGAAGTTAATGAGTTAAACTCAATATAAATTTAAAACTTTTTAAATCCCAATTTTTTTTTTCAGTTGTTTTAAAATTTGAAATTTATGCTGTTCCCTCCAGACACAAATCCCAATAATGGATGATCAATCATCAGATGAAAAGCAGATTTTCAATCCTGATTCCAAAAAGGTATAAT